GAGAGAGAGAGAGAGAGAGAGAGAGAGAGAGAGAGAGGAAGATGGTTAGACAATGATTTAATTTATCAGTCTGTGTTTAGTATACACACCCAGTACTGTTTATAGTAACGTGTGATTCATTAATAAATACTTGTAAATAAAACAATAAGATAATATTAATATTCAATTAGTCCAACTACTGTATGTACAATGTCAGCCAAGTCAGGACACAGTTTACCTAATTGGGCCAATTTGTTTATAAGCTATAACACTAATTTTGCTACAGACTAGCCTCTATATAATGGACACTTTGGGTCAAAAAAGTGTCTCTGTTATACAGAGGTGTCCTTTATGTGGAGGTTATTTTATACAGTAAGGAATGTAATTGGTACACTAGGTACTGTCCGTTAAATGGGGGTGTACGCTATAGAGAGCGTCCATTAAAAGATACTATACATGTATCAAAGCTACTGTTTTTTCTGTTTAGGAAGACATCGGCAGGTTATAACTTGACAAACCTGTTTGTTGGGTCTGAAGGAACACTAGGGATCATCACTGAAGCTACTCTTAGACTATATGGAATACCTGAATCAGTGAGAACAAGAATTATTGATCTATTGTAATATAATAACCTTTTCTGAGTTATTGCCAAATTGAAAAAATAATGTCAATTTCTTAAAAATACCCAAGGCTATTGTAGCCCATGGTTTTTTCTAAAAAATGGCTCTGAAATCACCCCAAATTTTTATTACATTTTCTAATACATATTGATCTACTTATGCTGTGTAGAGAAAGTTTGAGTCAATTCCTACTTTAATTTTTGAAGTTATGGCCATTTTTTAAAAATTGGCCGATTTTTAAAAATTACCCAAGGCTATAGTCCATAGTTTTTTCTGAAAAATGGCTCAGAAATCACCCCAAATTTTTATTACATTTTCTGATACATATTGATGTACTTATGCTGTGTAGAAAGTTTGAGTCAATTTCTACTTTAATTTTTGAAGCTACAGCCATTTTTTAAAATCGGCCAATTTTAAAAATTACCCAAGGCTATAGTTTTTTCCAAAAAATGGCTCCGAAATCACCCCATATTTTTATTGCATTTTCTGATACATATTGATGTACTTATGCTGTGTAGAAAGTTTGAGTCAATTCCTACTTTAGTTTTTCAAGTTATGGCCATTTTTTAAAATCGGCCTATTTTTGAAAATTACCCAAGGCTATAGCCCATGGTTTTTTTCTGAAAAATGGCTTCGAAATCGCCCCAAATTTTTATTACATTTTTAATACATATTGATGTCCTTATGCTGTGTAGAAAGTTTGAGCTGATTCCGACTTCAATTTTTCAAGTTATGGCCGTTTTTTTAATGGCCAATTTTTGAAAAATACCCAAGGCTATACCCATGGTTTTTTCCAAAAAATGGCTCCGAAATCACCCCAAATTTTTATTACATTTTCTGATACATATTGATATCCTTATGCTGTGTGTCATATTTTCTATCCATTTTCTCCCTCCCTCTTCAGACTACAGTCCTAGTATGTAGTTTCCCTACAATAGACTCAGCAGTGACCAGTACAGTTGAAATGTTACAAGCTGGTGTACCAGTGGCAAGAGTTGAGTTCCTTGATGACCTCTCACTAGAAGCTGCTAATAAATATTCTCATTTATCATATCCAGTACTGCCTACTTTATTCATTGAGTTAACTGGATCACCACAGAGTGTAGAGGAGCAGACTGAAATAGTTGGTAAGTTTAATCATACGTTTCAGTGTAGTTTAATAATGTCTTCATTCCTTGTAAAATATTTCAGGAATATTAGTACAAAATTTAAATTCATTTTATTGTAGATTTTATGGGGACCATTTTTAGATTTTATGGGGAAATTTTAGATTTAGCCCCCTTATACATGTACTTGTACATGGACGTCAGACCCCCTTTAGTGATTTGTCTTTAAAATGTGCATGTTTTATAATTATTGTTTTATTTTCTTAAGGTTCTATTGTGAAGGATAATGGGTGCTCAGAGTTTACTTGGGAAGAAGAGCCAGAGAGAAGATCAAAATTATGGAAAGCAAGACATGATTGGTGGTATGCTGGACTGGCACTTAAACCAGGAGCAAAAGTGAGGGGAGAGAGAGAGAGAGGGAGGGAGGGAGGGAGAGGGACAGAAAAGAGGGAATATACAGACATTATTAAATTTTTGTTGATCCATGTTTATGCTATTATATTGTAGGGTTATGCTACTGATGTGTGTGTCCCAATATCAAAATTACCACAAGTTTTATTAGAGACAAAAGAAGAACTAATGTCATCACCAATATTAGGTATAGTAAATTAATCAAATACATGTACATGCACACTGTACATGTCTATGGCCGTAACTTAAGAAATTGAAGTCGGAATCAGCTCAAACTTTCTATACAGCATAAGGACATCAATATGTATCAGAAAATGTAATAAAAACTTGGAGTGATTTC